GTCTTGAATTTATCAAACTATTGCTGGTAGAAACCTGTGGCCATAATAATTTTTTAGAATGTGTTACGAAACAATGATTCACACGTATTATGGTAATTAAACTAATCGAATTATTCGACACGTGTTATAAATTAATTCTCTTAATATAATAAATAATTTGGTAATAAATATTAATGTTCTGGTACCATATAATATGTTGTCTCTGTTATCTATATGCAACGTATTCATCAAACATGTATTATAGTAATGTTTATGTAATGTAAAGTGTATTAAACTATATCAAGGGTAGTAAATCATTATTTTGAATTGCAATTTTTATTAAATTTTTAATAACACAAGAAGTGTATTATAGTTCTTTACTTAGCTACATTTTTTTCTGTTAGTAAAATACTTTTAGAACTTCTGCAAGAATTGTTCCAATCATCAAACCTGAAGTAGTGCATATGGTTTTTAATTTATTTTGGATATAATCTGTGCATTAGGTAAACCCGATTTTTTTAATAATAATCCATGTACCTATCTAATAATAAGGGAAGGGATGTCTGAAAAATCGGTATTTTTACGGAATAGAGATTTCTGCAATTAAAAAACCTGTGATCTTGTTATTTTATTACAAATTAGTGAACAATGGTTTATAATGTACCTGGAATTATTATTGACTTCATACACGCGTATTTACGTATAATATAGACATGGTACGGTTTTTTTTAACATATTCAGATATGTTTTAAATTGTTTCTAACTACTCGAAATTACTGTAGATATTTTTTTCAAGTTATACGTTGTTAGATGTATTGAAATACTTGAAAAATGTAGACACAAGGGTCATATAAACTGCTTTTACGAAAATATCAAATTATCGAAAGTATTTATTCGTCAGGATTTTTGTTTGAAAAGTTTTGATATAATTCGTAAAAATTAACGGCGTATGCTTTCAGATTTTTACCATACTATACTTCTTGTATATTTTCCTTTTATATAAATATGATTCATATAGCTGTATATGAATTTTCAAAAATTTGACACAACGGTTGACATATTAAATTGCATTTCTTACTAGCAAGTGGTACAAAAAAAAAAAAACAAAAAAAAACATAACAAACTTGTGTAACAATTTATTTTTATAAGCCATTAAGTTAAAATTCATAATGAAATTCATTAAAATCACAAACAGTAATTGTTAATTAATTTTGTAGTTATAAATTAAAAGAATGTTCAATTTTAATACTGATATATTAAAATATGTTTAAATAAATTCAGCTCAAATTTATTTTTCATTTGTAACGATTTATCGTTGTAAATAGCAATAGTAGAGAAAAAGATTTTAATGAACATCTATTGTCCTCTACATAACTTAAAAACGGAGTGATATGAAAGAAACCATAATGTCGAACTACTTAATAGGTGATATAAGAAGATTGGGGTACAAAAACACTGCGTTAAAACAAATCTTTAACGATTTCATATAATGATTGGGTGGAGGATTCATAGGTATATCAAATTCACTTGAAAACCGGCGAGAAAATCGCCGGTTCGCGATAAATATGGATCACTGTAAAATATATACGCGTATTCCTGCAACGTCTAACGCAAATAATAATTTTGTATAATATTTAAATATTTACAGACCGAATCCCCCTTTTACTATACGCGTCGCTATTGCTATATTATATATAGTGTATTCGGATACTTAAAATATTCATAAAGTGTATAATATATAGTTATTATTAGTTTATCAAGATCTGTATGTTTTATAAACTATATAATATAAACCTAATGCTGCATACGGTATTGTTAAGTCGAAAATATACGCTTGTATCGTAACGTACGTAACCCTTGAAAAAAATACTCTGTGGTCAGACGCATTTTATTATTATATTATAATATAGGTTTACAAAATGTACGGGCTTTTGATATTTATTCTGTTCATATTAATATACTGATCGAATGTATACCTATGTATATATTAATGATATGTGGAATTACTACCGGAAAAAGTTTACAAGTAAAATGTTATTAATACCATACGTGTAACGGCCCCGTATTTTATCAATGTTTTACATTTGCCTGTACAGTATTTTAATAATAACAATATTATCACACGTATGAGCAAAATGTGCATTTACATAAATATATGGTTTGCAATTTTTTTCTCTCTACGACGGACGACTGGCGGACGTATAACCCGTGACTTAAACGTTTTTAAATGTTTTGGAGAACGGTTCGCGGTAAATTTTATGTATATTTTAAATTCGAAGTGTACAGTCGAGTGGAACGTATTGGTTTTAGGAATTATGTGTCTTTATTTCCATTTGTGAATGACTTATCTACCAGGCGTCTTGCTCTGATTGCGATGGTTCCCAGTTACGAGTTTCATTTAATTGACGTATCAGAAAGGTAATTTTTTTTATTTGCATTGTAATTCGACTGGAAATTGTAGACGAGGCAGCTATTCGTTAGACGCCTCTGGTGGTAGTGGTGGTGGTCGTCGTCAGTAAGTTCACGCATCTCTGCAGGGTTATCTTGGCTTGCAAAATGGTAGAGATGAAGGATGCAGGTGTAGTGATAAAAAGTTGGCCGAAGAAAAATCGACTAGATGTGCCGGTGTGCACCGACGTCGGGAGGTCACGTGCCAAAATGAAATAGATACGTGCAGATATAAAAATGCTGCAGTTTTTCTTTCTGAGTGCAGCTGTTTCTCTGTGGTTGTTGTGGATAGAAAACCCAAGTGACACAAATAAATAAATATAATAAAAACGACAAGCCTTTAGCAGCACGCCTTGTCTTCCCGTGTTGTTCCGATATTTATATAGTTCTTTAAAAAAAGTAGGGATTATATAAAAAAAACTATCTAAAAAAATATACCTGCTTTTGATTCCAAAAATATCGATTACAAAATTGAAAAACGGCCAAAAATGGATATTAACAATTTCACATATGAAGTATTCATAAATCGCAAATCCCGGTATTAAATGTATACTTGTCCTAGATACATAATTCTAGAGATTCTAATAAAATAAATTTTGCATTGGAGTAAATATCGTGGACGATCTTTGGGTCAGTAAAGGATAACATAAGATTAGAGACGGAGAATAAACAGAAAGCTACAGATAATAATGTTTGGAGAAAATATTTTACAGATCATAAAAAGAAAACAGCTGCTATAGACTGAACGTATATAGATGAATCGATACACATTACAGTGCAGAAATAGAACCAAATGACGGAAAAATCCTTTGGGGAAAACCCCGATGATATGATAGGTATACGTAAGATTTGAAATTTTTAGGAAATTAATCAGATTGAATAGCTGGAAAATTGGCGATGAATTGCTGGAAGATTGGATGAGAGGATACTGTCTGTACGTGTATAAAACGAGTGGATTGTGTGAAAATGTCTGGAAAATGAAAAAAAGTGTATCTCAATAACGTTCATTACGATCTGTCAACAAACATAATTATTATTATTAAAAAAAAAATATGCAAAGCATATGTAATTATTTTACCATAATATGGCATATATTATGTATACAGGCTGTCTCACGAAGATATACCCCTTGAATATTTTCGGAGATAATAAAAATAACCAAATTCTGTTTTTTTTTTTTTTTTTTATTATTATACACAGATAAGAGAACTACAAATATTTATTTTTAAATACATTTTTTTTTTTATTTAAACCAAATTAAAAAAAAACTTTTTATTTTATAATTTTCAGATTTTTTTAAGATAGCTATCCTGTAAGGATTATTTTTTTAAAAATTTAAATGTATCACACATTTATATCCTATAAATAATTTCTAAGTAACAGCCAATTTAAATTCTATTAACCGTGTTTTTACCTATGTTATCTAGAGATAACCAAACCGTGTTACGCGATAACATCGGTTTATACATAATATTGCTGTAACAATTTCTGGCACCATTTCTGAAAGCAAATATTATCCAGATGGTACTTTTGATTTTTCGAGTAGTTTTCATAATATCTGGAGAAAACCAGGGTAAAAAAAAGGAAAACCGGGAAATTTACAAAAATAATGCGTTTATTTTATTTTTAATTTTGTTATTTGTTGTAATTCAGTCAAAAATATTCATGTACACTTTATTGCCTTGAAATTAAAACAAAAAAAACTTTTATTTGTCTTTTCTAGATGTGGTAAAATTTTCAAAAATATTAAGTCATTATAGAACTATTTATTGACATTTTAATTTTGCGAGATTTGTACTTAATTTTACGGTAGGTACTCTGTGGTAAAATTGTTAGACTGATATACTAAGGAATCAATCAATTTTCCTAACCCAATATGAGTCGCATTATTGTTTGTAACACATGTGGTCACACAAAGTATATTTGACCGTTCACTTAAATCTCATATTTTTTTAACAGTTTACATACAAATGCGTTTATTAATAATTTACATAATTTTACTTTCTTTGTTTAATATATATTACAATAAAGGTTGGGTATTAAAGGAACTATTATACTAAAGCTTAAAGAGAAAATAAATTATTAACAATTATTTGATTGACAGAATATGTTTGAATCCAAGGTATATAAAACTAAACGAAAATATTACCACCTTCAATTAATAATTTGAAAAAATAAGGGATAAGTAACTGGATAGATTGTTTTTGTTGCTTTTTCCATTTTGAAATTGGACGCCGACGAAAATAATGCGTAACAAAATTGATACCGAATGTAGTCACACACGGTAATTTTGACAGGTTAAAGATTTTAAAAATAGATATAAATGCGAATAGAAACATACATCATACATTAATATGAATAGAAGTGTAACTTTTTACTTTATATACATCTTTAAGTGAAAACCATTCAGCTGTATAAATAAAATTTACAAAAAATTCTTATTGCTCATTGGTTAACAATCCTGGATCTAAAGTCAATTGTGGCGTCTTAGATGTAAATTCTTCTCCGAAGTTTCCCACACCTATCAAATTCTAATTTTTTATTTTAATTCTTTTTTATATTAATATAATTTATTATGTATAATTGACATTAGGTTTCAAAACAGGTGTATTTAAGATACTTAAAACAGTCGGAACAAATGGAGGTTTAACCTTTCTCCTTAATAAATCCTCACAAACAACTTCTTTAACAAATTCTTGTAGTTTTACGTCTTTTCCGTCTCTTTCGTTTGAACCTAAACTTTTTTTTGGATTTTTGCATAAAAACTATACCTACAAAAACAATAAATATTTCCTAGTTAGTATATAGTTTCCACTAATATAAATTTAAAAAAACATACTTTGCTCATGATTAAAATCACTTTGGAAGATAGTAAACTGGGATATGGTATTTGTATGATCGTTAACTACGGAGTGAAGCAAGTCTTTCAGATCATCGGCGTCTGCGAAGGGGCAGTATGTGTGATAAAAATGTATATTAATTGCAGTGTTATTTTACACATTAATATCCAAAATATATTTACCTCTCTGACAAGCATTTCATATATCAGTATACCAAAAGACCACCAATCTACACTACGCGTGTACGACGTTTCGGTAATAATTTCAGGAGCTATATATTTGGCTGTTCCACAAAACGTTTCGTTCCGATCGTCAAAACCTAGGCCTTTTTTTAATGTTCCGAAATCTGCTATTTTAACGTAGCCATCAGTATCCAACAGTAAGTTATCTAATTTTAAGTCACTAATAAATAATAAACGCACCATCTTATTAAAAACGTCACAAACTATAAAAATGATGTTAACATTGTAAAAAACCAAAAAATGATACTATTGTCGTGTAAATATTGTTGGTCTAAAATAAAGTAAGCGACATAGAAAATTGCTCTTGGTTCTTCAAACGCCCCGTTATTTATGTGTGTATACAAATCACCTCCAGCCGCATACTCCATAACAAAACAAACATGAAAACAATGAACCAAACAATTTAAAAATGCAAGTAAATAACTAAATTTTAGTATACTTACTTCTGTCTGGAAACAGGGGAATAAGTTCACTAAGTGTGGATGATATTATTAACAATTTCGAATATATTTTTTTCAGAGTGTAATGACTCCACTAGATTTTCAGCAATTATATGGCATTTATTAAGCGTTTTTTGGAAAAATACTTATCCGATTTTGTGTATTGACACAATGTTACCTACAATATAAATGGAAAGCAAATGAAATACAAATTACTTACTTATACTCTAAATATTTCTAATAATTATTATTACTTTCCCATAACTGTCTCTCCCTAATACACTTAGAAGTCTAAAATCTTCAATGGATATATTCGATATTTTATCATCCACCTTAGAACTTTTTAAATCGTTATCTTTCCTATCTTCAATTATAATCCGGAATTCTACAACTAAACGTTCTTCTAAATTTGTTTCTAAATTTGATTTGGACTTTCTTAAAATAGTAATACCATACAAATTATAAATACATATTTAAATTCCTAGTTTTTGTTTAAAATAATGTTTTTTAATTCTTTGAAGTGAAAATTTGATCAGCAAAAAAAAATGTACTGTTTAATTCAATATGTAATTTTCGAGACAACGATTTTAATGAAATTGAAATGTATTCAAGATGCATTTTTGTTTAATGAGAATTTAACATTAGAGGTTGGAGTGAATTATGCTTTTTAGATGAAAGTAATATATATATATGTATATATATTGTATATAATTGAGAATAATTTTTATTTTATAATATTTGAAATTCCAAAAATAATATAAAAATCTAAATATAATATGTTTTGAATTACTAGGACGATTACTAGAACGATCCGCCGATCCATTAGCGGAATAGCTTGAGTGCTTAACCTGAAAATAATGTATCATAATTTAATTATACTCATATTTTTTACTGGATTAATACAAACAACAAAACAAAATAAATTTTATTTAAATCAGTTGTTACACACTTACTTTCTTAGGAATGCAGCATGCCATCATATTACTGAGAAAACGAAAGCCTTTAGATAAGGCAAAGATTAATCTACTCATATTGCAAATGATATGTATCACTTTCTACTAAGAACACAAATAAGTTTAGAATTTACCTTTCTAACTAATTAGATGATGTTTCTTGTTTAATGTTTTTTTTCCAAAAACATGAAGCATAATGATAAGCAAACATTGAGTTGAATACCTAGCTACAGAAATATTTTACTAGAAAATTATGATTATAATGAACATTATAATAATAAATAATATTTAAGTTTTAAAAACGTAATATAAAACTTTTTTGTCAATATATATTTTCATATTTATTAAATTATTACTTTTAATTTTTTTTTTTTATCTTTTCTTATAAAACTATTTCTCTATAGTTTTTTCGGTTTTTTTTTTTTTTAATTTTTTGTTATTACAAATTATTTATTTGTGAGCAGATCGAGGAATATGGATACTGGTTTTACAATGATAATTATTTTTATAGTTATTGTGTTTATAGTAATTTAATCAATAAAAATTGTATTTCGTTATAACTGCTTGCACCTCCCCAGCAATGTGTATACGCCCTTCAGTTTGGGAACCTGTGGTTTATACTGTGTAGTATAGTTTAACCGGAAATCTTGCTTCGATGTATCAAGTGTAGCACTTTTACTGTAAGAAAATGTTATCTGATGGCTACACTAAACAGGTTATATTTTCATTTTTTAAGTCATTTTTTCATAATTATTGGGAAAATAGGGAAATAACATAGGAAAACAGGGAAATTTATAAAAAATAATGATTTTATTATTTTTAATTTTTTTTTTTTATGTAATTAAGTTAGAAATATTCATATAGAATTAAAATATAGACAGATATATTCTGTTTGGTTTTTTTTGACTTGATAAAATTTTCAAAATATTTGAATCTAATTTTGCGAGTTTTTTACGTAATTTTTATTCGGTAGGTACTCTGTGAGTAAAATTGTTAGACTAAACAGAAATGATTGAAAATTCGAAAAGTAGTTCATAGTAGGTCGTACTTTATGATCAAAAATTTTTAAAAAAAATAGTGTAATGTAGTATATATATTTTTTTTTTATATAAGATTTTAAATCATATTTTGACGAAAATTGTAAATTTTACGACGTTTCAAAACACGTACAACTGAACTTCGCTCTAGATCGTTTTTCGTTGGTTTATCGTTGATTACAGTTATAAATTAATTAACTTTATGTATTCCACCTTTCTCAATACCCACCTATAATAGTGGCTATATCCGTCCTCAGTTTCAACTTTTATTTTCTTATTTTTTTAAATTTATAATCATGAAAATGAGCAAAACAAATGTTAGAATAATGTATGATATACTCTTTCGATTAACGTGTGTCCACAATATTGTTTTCAAATGACGTGCGCCATTTTGACCACCTCTCCTATAAACTATTGCAAGGCGTAATAGCATTACAATAAGTAGATATATTATTTGCATGTACTTGAAATTCGCGTTTAGTTTCAATTATATACAGACTTATAATATTTGTTGCGTTTGAAAGTTACAAAAAACAGTAAAATCAAAAAGGTAATAATTTATACAATGGATGATGATGATGATCTGATTCATCAATCATAGACAGAGGGTGCAGGTATCGGTTCAAGTATCTTATGGCATGATGTGCTTGAGACTATAACTATTACAATATAATATTGAATATTCCCTATACCATTGCTGAAATGCTGCATCGGAGATAACATTCCTAGATAGATTCGTCGCTAAATGTCCGGCGTTTATAAGGATTGATCGTACGGTGAATTTCAAAATACATGAATGTTGGCACATTTATATTGGGTATATATGTATATCGTTTTTGTATTGTTGACAAAGCCGCACAATCAACCGATCTCCGATCAATAACGTTTATCGAAGGTTTAAGATGCTTACAGATATACTTACATTGAAGTCCCGTCTGTATCCAATACTACTTCCCATATCAAACAGTGGATGCACCACCCATCCCCATCACTCTTAGGGCGGGTTTTTTTTACCATTATTTTTCAACGCCACCATCCTCGAGACGTTGTAACATTTCCGCGGACGACTCGTGCGGGCTCGTTCGCGTATGTAATAATATTATTATTGTAAACGGTCCCCTTTGGATAACTGCTGCACGCTGTCGCGGGGGACCGCTATAACAATTATTGTTATTACGTCATCAATTCGCCGGGCCTTCTCCTGGCATACGCGCGGTTGGTGCCACCGCTGCCGCCGCCGCCGCCGCCAAATGACTAATTTCCCGACGGAGGTCCGCGGCACGGTGCCGGGTCGTCGTCGTCGGTGGCGAATATTTTCTAAACGAGTTAGCAGCGGTGGCGACGGAGTTGGCGACCGGGTAATTAATATTGTACTCTCTACCCTGCATTATAATATTATTCTCTATACAGGGTACATAATAGTGTAACGCAATATAATATAATGTGCTCGCGCGAGCGTGTGTGTACGCATATCCATTACCCGGTAGATATATTATATTATTACATGTGCGCGTCGCCATAGATCCTCTGCGGATAGGGTAATGACGTGTGCGCGTCGGATATAACGACGACGATGTGCTACGGCGCAGCCCTCCCCTCCCCTGATTGTAGACCCACGAACGTATAAAACGATAATATTGTTCACGGTTGGGAGACGACTATGGTTTTGCCATGTTTTTCCAAAAGTCGTTTTTCTCAATGCCGTTTCCCCCGAATTTTAATTTTCCCGTGTGCCATTTCTCCCGTCGTGATATTTTTCAATTTTTCATTATTCCAATATCGCGGGTAATATTTATTTTTAAATGTCTTATAGAAAAAAATGTGGACATACATATTGAACCATAGGAAAGCCACTGCAGTTATAGGAGGGCAGTTATAAATGTATTGAGTAGGTATTTAGGTTTATATTATGTATTGTATTCACCAATAAATCTTTGGAAAAACGATTCTGAGCGGAGTAGTTGTAGGTTTCCTTTTGTGAGTACCGAAAAAACCAAATAAAGGAACTAATTCGTGAACTATTTAAAATGTCGATAAATGTTTCGAATGAAGTGCTGCGAGCCAGAAATTCTACATCTTTTAAATTACTATCAACCCAATAGCTGTATATAATACTTACTGTAATGTTTTTAATATTTAATAATATTGTTTGAATATACAAATAAATTACCAATTTTCATATAATTTATGAAGTATCATAATATAATATAGTATCTCACTGATAGCCATTTATGTTATCTGGACAGCTTAAGCGTATCTTTTATCTTTATTTTTGGTCTAGATAAAAATATCGGTTATCTTTCTCAGCACTTCTAGTGTTTGTGACCCTTTACTGAAATATTTTCGAAGTAAATCCAATATATTTTAATAAAATATTTAGCATGACTGCATGAAAAATGAATAAACTGCAGTATTGCAAATGATTTAAAACCGATTATATATAAGGTCGACACATTTCATATTATTATGGCTGTAAATTCACAGTCAAATATTATGAAACGCAATACCGCTACAATTATACATATAAATATATTAAAAACGTTGCTGTTTTACACTCGGTACGTTACGCGAAAATTAATTTCCATCGACAAATCGAAATGTAAGGCAATACTTATTGAATTTTGACGTTTTCAATTAGACGGATAGATTAAAAACGTGCGGAAATTAAAAATCGAAAAAATCAATATAATTTTATACCGATAAAATAAAATAATTTAAAGTATACGTTTATGATATATTATTGATAAATATTTCGATGTCTGACGAGGTCCTTCAGACCTTTTTCTAGGTGTTGTATTATTTTTATCACCGTTGCGGATTTCTTTACGTCCGTCAAACGTTATTGTGTTTATAAGCATTCTCTTTATTATCTCTTGCGGTCGACAGACCTCGTCGATCATTGCCCAACTCCCATCATTTCGCCCCGATAGCGTAACAGTAATAATAGGTATTATTATTAATTACAGTCGGACTATATACGTTACGGTCAATTAAAATATTCATGATCCCTATACTAAACGCACATCCCCGTCTCTATCGGATATTTGCTTTTTAGACTGGCACGATAATGACGAAGAACGATGATCACATGATTCATCAAAATTTGTTGAATACAAGATTTCTGTTCTTTTTTTCTTTTAATTCCTGAGCTTAATGTGGAATGTATTGGTTTTACCAAAACGTATGGTTTTTTTTAAAAACTAAAAATATTTATATCTATTTGTAAACAATTTTTTTACTAGAAACGATGCTCCAATTATTAATTTAGAAAGGTTCCTGGTAGTACATTTTGTCTGGTTAATATATTGGTTAGAGCTCATATTTAGATTTTCCTTGTAGTTTTCTCAATAATTTAGAAGGAAAGTCAGAAAAAACGGGAAAATGTTATCTGTTGTTAGGTTTTGTTTTTTGTTGTTAGTTAGTTAAAAATAATAGTTGAGAACTGATATTGTTGAGCGTTTTAAGTTTAAATTTCAACAAAAATCATACAAACCATGACGTTTTAAAACTAAGTGTAACGAGAATCCATAACTGATATACCTAATAAGATCTGAAACATCTGATAAGCTACAAGATCCTAGACTTTACAACATTGCAATGAAAAACATGATTTATGGCCCTTGAGGACCAAATTACACAATATGATCGTACTTGAAAGAAAACTTATGTCCCAAAAATACCCAAGGAGATCTATTAATTCTGAGACACAAACTGGTGATGAAGTTTACCTAACCTATAAATGTAGATTTCCAGATGGCGAAAGAAATATAGAACTGAATGTGGTGTCGCTCTGTCTATATCTACTTATAATTGAAGTCCTTTCCAGTATTTAATACTATATTCCAAATAGTTTTAAAAAAGTATTTTATTCTTTAAAAGTAAATAATTTTTCTCAATATTGTTTTATAGTATTCAATGCTTTGCTTTGATATGCATCCTTTATTTTTCTTGGATATCACTTTTTCGGATATTTATACAAATACTCAGATTTTTTCACGCATTACTTTAAAAGATAAGTAATTTCCACCACATAGTATTTAA